TAGGCAATATTTCACATCCATAGTCTTCCACTTCTACAATGAGTGGAAAGAATGATATTTCTTATTTCTTCTTCACAGACAAGCTTGGTCACTTTAATTACCCAGTGGTCTTTTTTTTTTCCTCTCTCTATCTATCCATTTACATTGCTGTAATCATTGTATGTATTGTTTTCCTGATTCTATTCACTTCACTTTGTTTCAATATGTATACATGTGTATCAGTGCATAGATATAGATATATCATATGAGTCACCGAATTCTTCATCTTTTCTTATGGTGCAGTAGTAACATTGCATTATATTCATGTGCCACAATTTATTTAGCCATTTACAACTTGATGGGCATTTACTTTGTTTCCACTTCTTGACTACCATAAAAAGTGCTGGTATGAATATTTCAGAGCATATGAGATCTTTCTGTCTTTAAGTTCCTTGGGATAGATGCCTAGCATTTCAGGTTTCTGGATCAAAGAGTACAAATGGACATTTTTTTCACTTTCCAGAATGGTGGGTTCAATTTAAAGCATCACCAAGAGGATATTAGCATTCTTATCTTTGCCTAGCCTGTCCAACATTTACAATATCCATCTTTTATCAACATTGACAATTTGTATTACCCCCTATCATTACACAGAAAAATGAAATTTAAGTCTAGAGAGATTGCAACTTGGCCAGGTCTACTCATGGGACACTTTCCATTTCATTTCCATTCCCCCTTTACCAGATTGGATGGCAAAAGCATTATGACTTCTACCACTAGGTAGAACTGAGAATAACTAATTATAATACTTTTGATGAGATGGAGCACCACCAACCCTTACCACGTGCTCTGCTACATGATGAGAAAGCTCAGAGGAACTTTGGATGGCCAGGCACTGCCATCTGACTTGTCAATGGGCCCTAAAGATTTTTACCTTATAGCTGTACTTTTTTATAGATATTATTTCCCCCAGTTAGAGTGCAAGTTCCTTGAGAGCAAGGACTGTCTTTATTTTTAATTTTTATCTCTAGTATTTAGCCCAGTGCTCAGAATATAGTAAGTGTTTAATAAAACCTTTATTTTTTTTTCATCAACTGCCTCAGAAATTCAGTTTCATGCATACTTTTAGCACGCATATTCCTTGCCCCTGCCCCAGTAACAAACAATGCATTTAGATGGGAGTTGAGACAGGGCCAACCAGACAGGTGGGAAGAAGTGAATCCTCAAGACTCTACAAGGGCCCTGCCACCTTTTGGGGTGCTGAAAGGAACAACACACCTACGGGGGATTTCATGAAGACTCTATAGAAGGGGAAAGACACTTACAGTAATCAGGAGCTGTGAGTTTACTGACTATCCATCCCCCTGGGGTAGGTTCAGTGGTATTCTTTTTGAATCCTTTCCCCAGAGACTTGCTGTCAGGAAGAGTCCATTTAGTAGACTTCATAAACAAATCCAGAAATCAGCATTCATTCATATTTTCAAATTCATGGTGATATAATTTAAGGAGCAGATATCACTTTTGTAAAGTTCTCCTAAGTTACTACATGTGTTAGCTTTTGCAAAAGATCTTTCCCAGCCCCAAAACAGTAAAAAGAAAGAAGAAAGGAAAAGAAAATTAAATGCCCCTTCTCAGAAGGAAAAGTCTCATTCTTCCTGAACTCTTAGAGCACTGGGCTCTTCCCAAAAGTATTAAGGATATGGGGTTGGATGGAATCAATTCTTTGGGTGAGAATCCAAACCCATTTGGCTTAGTACTTGTAAAGCAACACTAACCTGCTTGCCTCAGCTCTACCATAAATATATTAATATTATTATTGTCATCTGGTCCCTCCAGCACTGATGATTTCCATTTTTGTCATCATAAACAATTTGTGTTAAGCCACAGAATTATATAGAAGCACTTGCCTTCTCTCCAATGAAGGACCCTTATGCTCTGGACTCAGTTAGGTACCAAGTGCTATATAAATCTAGCACTATGTCAAGGGAAAACTGGGATACTCTCCTTTAACCAGTAAGGGCTCCTCTACGCTACACCCATCTACTGATTGGGTTTGATACTGAACAAAATTAAATAGATGAGAAAATCAAACCTTTCTTCTCAGAGGTAAAACCTGGACCTTTCAGAGTATCTCAGAACTTGTGGGGTTTTCTCTGCATAGGGTTAAACCCTGGGGTCTTAAAAACCTGAAGGTGTCCCTCCACCTTAGGTGAAAAACCTAATTCTCCTAGGCAAACTACTACTTTATTCTCTAAATGCATAATGCTATCCAACTGGGGTCCAGAGAAAATACTTAGGTCACTCAAAAATTTCTCCAGGGGTCCTGAAACCATAAGTGAATTCCTTGTGGGTTCAGAAAAACTTCCTCTGGGTCCCTATACTAAAGGACACCCAAATTTCCTCCAGTGGATCCCTGTTACTGTAAGAACATTTCAAATATAATTTTTAACCCACCCCCCAGTAGGATATATATAAGGTATATAAGGTAAAACAAACTCAGAAAAGTTCTTATAGAGGTATGAGGGTCCCTGAAAAAGGATCAAGCAGGTTAAGCTTACTTAAAGTTTCTAGGCCAGAATGCAAAGTTTAGGCTATGGACTTGTCTTAGACAAGCTTTTTGGACTCGTGCTACAAATAAGACAAATATTCTAATACTGATTAAAAGAAGAAAAAAGGGAGAAAAAGTTATTTTAGTATGCTATCAGCAAAATGGTAGCACTAGTGTTTTACAGATGTGAGATCTCTAGCTCTCATATCACTTTCCATACTTGTGAAAGATTCAGTGGGAAAGCCTACCTATTTTCTCATATATCCTCAATGTTGCTCTTAATGCATGTATAAATTATTCTTATACAATTTTTACATGGATGGAAAAGTATGAATACAGGTCAATAGTCATTGATGATTTCTCAATCATCTCTTCTGTAGTAATAAAGTCTGAATTTTTTTCCATGCCTTTTTTTTTTATTCTCCCCTCCTTCAGATACCTTATGAATTGGTCTTCAATACCTTCCCAACTGTGTTGTCTCCAGCATGGAACCTCTTCTTAGACCCATTATAATAAAGCTTTGGGGTTTTTTTTATTTATTTCCCTTTTTATGTATTGGTTTGTTTCATTCCATTTCTACCTCCTCTAAAAGCACATTCAGAATAAGCACAGTCAGCAAACCTAGGCGCCCACGTTTACCGGTTCTACTGTCTTTAATGGATCTCTTTGATTTTTCTTCATTTTGTCGTCCTTCCATTTTCATTCTTAAATTTCCCCAGGATGACTTTTCTTAGTTGGTTCTCTCATCTAGCTTTCTTTAAGTTAGTTTTACTCTCCATTGCTGCTTTCTGTTTTATGGGACCCTACTACTTAACAATTTTTCATCATTATCCTCTGCAAGACTTTACAAATGTATCTATTATATTCTAAACCAGTGTTGACCTTGGCTGTCATATCTCTTTGCTCAGCAGGCTAAGGTATTTTATATTCTTTTGCTTTTGCTGTTATAACAATTGATACCTATCAGTTAAACTTTTGTAAGAAATTCTTTTAGGTGCTATGTCCTATCTTTTGTCCACATCCCATTTTTCATCATTGATAAGCTACTTTAGCATAAAGTTGTTTTAATGGCATATTACATCATTTTCTCATTTTTAGTCTTTTTTTCTGGTTTTGCATCAATTTTAATTAAGTCCAGGTTTTACTGTACACAGACAGCTAATTCAGGAATGACTTCCATATTAATGATGTGTAATTTCCTCTTTGTTAAAATATAATCAATTTTCATTTTTGCTAGGTTAGCCAGAATTGGTCCTGTCCAGAGCCCTCCATTTTTTCTTTAAGGAATCATACATAATAAATAGGCATAAATCTTATGTGTTGTCCACATGTCTTTGCTGTCTTTAATTTCTTGTTCCTTATTCATATTTTCCAGCATATTTCTTTTCATCCTCACCTGTTCTCATCTTTGCACTAAAGACATACTTTAATTCCTACTCCCTGGCCATCTGCCTCTTCTCCCTAGCTGCCTTTCTGTCCTTGAGAAAAGTCTACCTTGAGGCTTGCTTTTGTAATTGGTCATAACCACTTCAAGATTAATCTTTCAAGAAAAGCTACAATGATCCTTAACTTCACTCCCCCTCCTCAACCCAGCGATCTTGTCCCAGGCATGTGTGTATGGGGGAAGGGGTATTCTTTAATTTCTCCTACCCCTCAGTTCTGGGACAATAAACCACAAGCACATCAACTCTGTCACTGATTTTGGATGGAGCATGTCAGTCTGTGCTCTTATGGCCCAGGTGCCGTCCTTATAACTTCTGAACCAAAGTGACCCATGCTAGCCACCACTCCCCTTTGCCAGTCATTTTCCCAATAGTCCCTTGAGAGTCCTTGAGAGCAGGGACTATCTTAACTTTTTAGCATTTGCATTCCCAGTCCTTTGCATAATGCTTGGTGCAAAGTAAGCATTATATATTTATATGTGTGTGTGTGTATACACACACATACACACACACACACACACACACACACACACACACACACATATATATATGTTTATATATATATATATATACATATATATATATATATATTTTTTTTCATTTATTTATTTATTTATTTTTTACTCCAACCACCAAATACCAAAGTACATGCTGATTTTTCTGGATGGTTTTTTATTGTGTTTTTTGTTGAAATTATTTTCACAGTGGCATTTTAACAGATACTTATGATGATCATTGCAATATACAATTGCCAGATGTCCCATGACATTACTTATTACCTTCAAAAGTATGATAAAAATGCACACTTCCAACTCATACTGCCTAAGGTTAATTTGTGAGTCAATCTTCCATTTAGCTTCAATTTCCTTCTTTCTTCTGGATTTGTTTATACAAATGTCAAGAACATTGTGTTTCATTCATTCTGGTAATTTTGTTTGTTCCATGGTCATTGAACAAAGGATAAGAGGCAAAGTGGTAGAGGGGAAAGAAGAATGGACTTGGAGTAATCAAACTTGAAGAAATATACTCACCTCTGTCACTGACTATCTGTCAAACTTTTGGCAGTCACTTAGCTTGTCTGGACCTCAGTTTTCTTATCTGTAAAATGAAGGAATTTGATTAGATGGTTTTTAAGGTCCCTTCTAGCTCAACATCTTTGATCCTTGAATGTGATATTTACTGTATCAATAGTTAATTTAAAAGGTATGGATAGCATAAAAATTATATCATCCTTAATGCCCCTTTACTCCTTTTCTGCCATTCTACCCTTCATTCACTGCAGAAGTAGAAAACAGACTCACTTGGCTGAAAGTTACTTTATATTTTTCCTTTTTTCATGGATGAATTCACAGTCAGAGAATTCATCACCAAGAGACCAGCCCTATGGAGGTGGAGCATCTTCGTGGTTATTTATTTAGGCTGACCCTAAGAAAGCAGACTCAATCTGTTGCCTGGGCTCAATCTCAGATAAAATAACATTTGTAAAACTCTTACCATGGTGCCTGCACATAGTAGGGGCTTAATAAATGCTTCTTCCCTTCCACTCAACCCTACTATCTTTTGAGCATGGTTGAACTTGTGAGAGCATGCACTCTATTCATATAGACTTCAAAAACCCAGCATCACCTTCACACCATGATGAGGTATTGGAGAAATACTTTGTGAAGGAGATACACAGTGGTTTTAATGAGTGGGAAGAAAGATATGGTGGAAGGTATGAGATAGGGAAGCATTGGGCTATCCCTATGAAAATAGCTGGAAGTTGTGATTTTTTTTGCTGGGACTTCATTAAGAATATCTGATATCCCCCAGGAGACAGATTTGGAAAAAGCTTTTTCTCAACTACCAACTATTTTAATAAACATTGATTTATCCTAGGCTTGGGGTTCTTTACCTGAGGTCAATGAAATTCATAAACACACACACACGTATATACATGTATATATTGTGCATATGTATATATAGTGTATGTGTATATATAGCATGTGTGTATACATGTATGTATACATGTGTATGTATACATATATGTGTACACACATATGTGTGTATGTGTGTGTATATATATGTTTGAGAATCACATTTCCATATAATTGATTTCCTTTATAATACTGTGTGTTTTCCGTATCTAAACACATTTTTTTCTGAGAAAGGGTACATAGGCTTCACCAGATGCCAAGGGATCCATGACATATAAAGGTTAAGAATCCCTGATTTAGAATCATAGAATTTGAGAGCTTTAAAGCACCTTAATGGGACCATCCACACCAAACCTTCTCGTCTTACAGGTGAGGAAACCAAGGTAGAGATCAGGGAAGGGACTTGCCTGTGTCCTGGTCCTGCTGGCAGAGCAAGTACAAGAACCCACATCTCCAGATACCTAGCTGACAGTTCTTTGTTCTTCTGTTTTGGGAGATTGATATGGAGTAAGGAAAAGAAGTACACCCCCAAAATTTAAAACCCACATCCACTACATTCATTGCGAAGTGGTTTTGGATACATGCAAAAAAAAAATGCAGAGTAAATGTAAACAGGTAAGGAAAAGGTGCCAATTTCTGAATTACTTTTTTGAGTTCATAAACAAAACAGCTTCCCAGGAGGTCCTAGAACTTTTCTGAAGGGCCTTTACAAAATTAGAAAAAGTGAATAAACATGAAATACTATTAACTTAACAAATACTGCTTAAAGTAAGCTAGTATTTCAGATTGTTCTTTCCTTTTTCAGATGTTGAGGATAAGATAAAATGTTTAGTTTGAGGTTAACTAAATAACTGAAACAAATAATTTCTTAGGCTATTGAAACTATCTCACCTGAAGCTTGAAAAAGTTTTACATTTGCCAAATTACTCAGCTTCTACTTTGTCACTTAATAACTCATTTTCTTGTTATGTAAGAGTGGTTCTTGGCTTTTCAAACTGGATCTAAATTTCATTGTCTAGTCTCCTTTCATAATTTCCCCTTATAAGAAATGATTGATAATCCAGAGAAATGAGTACAGTCTGTAGTGTTCATCCTGTCTGTGGCTTTCTGTCTTGATCTCTTGACCATTTCTAGTTCCCTCTGAAATAATCTGAAGGAAATGTTCCAAGTGTAAGACCTACTTGGGATATCACTGAAGAGGATTAGCTTAGAAATAGAAAATTGAAATAGTTGGTTCAATTCCTTAAGGAGAAAGCGTCATCCATGTTCTTTAAGCTGAAAAAGCTTTCTTGGCACAATTGCTGTTTTGATGATCAGATTAAAATCTTGGTTATTTTTATTTTATTAGATTGTCTATGACAACCATAATAATGAAATATTTCTCTCATGGGTACCTCACTGAGTGAAGATAACAATGGTGGGAATAACAAACACTCCTTCCTCCTCTCCCAATGACTCAGAAGCAAAGACTATCAATTTTTCACCAGAATATTTCTATTTAAGTTACCCTAGAAATAAACATATAAAAATTTGGATGACTAAAGAGTAGGAATAGTATTTTTTTTAAAAGGAATCAGAAACTTGTGTACAAGTCGACTGTTGTGCTGAGTTTATCACTATTATGTACTCATCTTAATAGAAGTCACTCCATGTTTTATTAATAACCCTGATCTCAGAATCATTAAGCATTCAGAGTTTGAAGGGACCCTCTGGGGCTATCTATTACAACCAGTACACAAAAGGAATCCACACTATACTATATCAGACAAGTGGCTATCCAGTTTCTTTTTGAAAGTCTTCATCCAACAAGGTTGTCCACGTCACTTCTGTATAACTCTAATTTTTAGGAATTTTTTTTTCTGAGATCAAGCCTAAATTTGCTTTTGCGACAACCCACTGCCCCCCAATTCCACCCTCTGGGGCCAAACAAAGGCTAATCCCTCTTCCATATAATAGTTTTCTAAGTAGTTGAAGATGGCTACCTTGTCTCCCACTAGACTTTTCTTCTGTAAGACCAACATATCCATTTTCTTTGAATGTTTCTCATATAACACAGATTCAAGGTTATACACCATACTGGTTGCCCTCTTCTCATTTCTCCAAGCTTATCAATGTCCTTCTTATACAGTGGCGGCCAGAGCTAAACACACTATGACAGGTGAAGTCTGCCTACAATGGAGTACAGAGGCTGTTATTATCTTCTTACTTTTTCTGTCTTACTGTGTTTACCTTTATGTAAATGTTGTATGGAATTATAGACTCTTGAGTTATAGAAGAGACTTCAGAGGAAATCTAGTTGTAAGCAGCAAAAGGTCTTACCACAAATTACACGAAGATATTGTTTGAACCAGGAAGAAGTTTTATTAATGACCTGGCCAGACCACATATTCCACATGTGGGCACAGATGTGTCAAACAGATACACACTTTTTAATTCCATATTTCCAATTCGAATTTCCCTCCCCTGTTTCCCCATTGGCTGGGTACTATAGAGATTACAGCCTATCCGAAGCATGTAATTTCCCCACGTGAGTCTCTGCCCCTAATTATATCTCCCACTTACCACAGTTTGGGTACCCAGGCCCTCATCCACTTTTGCTCTTATTTGGGAACGCTCCTTTTGATGTTAATCTATACCTAACCTCAAAACAGGTTTTCAGCAGGTTAGTCTATTCACCCACCAATAGTGTTTTCTTATTGTAATTTATGGATTCCTTTGTTCATCTACCATTTAGCCCTTAGATTGCATTTTTCAGGTGACTTTTGTGGAAATGAAAACTAGATATTTCTCACATAGTCCAAGCTATAGAACTCATCAAGTCAACAGCAAACATTTCTTAATTGGCTACTGCATGCCAGATATTGTGCTAAGCATTAGACATGCAAAGAAAGACAAGAGACCATCCCTGCTTTCATGGAGCTCACAGTCTAATGGGGAATAGCATGTAAACAAATCTGTATCAATGAGATATATAAAGGATAAACTGGAAATAATCAACAGAAAGAAGGCACTGACATTAAGGAGATCAGGAAAGACTTCCTGCAAAAGGTGAAAGATAAGAGACGAATTGTCTCTATCACACTGGAAACAAAGGGGTCCTCCACACTCTGCTTGAAGACATTCAGTAAATGGAAACGTCCACTTTTCCAATCTATTTCACTCTTGGACTCTTCTAATTGTAGGAAAGGTTTTCATTCTGTCAAGCCTAAACTTGTGTCTCTACCCCAATACACATTGTTCATAGTTCTGCTATGTAGGGCTGACATGGACCAAATCTAATGACCCATGTGTATACACTCTTCTAATAGTTAAAGACCATTATCACATCCCACACATCCCCACCCCAAGTCTTCTTTTTCTTTGGTGAAAAAATCCCCACTTATTTTAATCACAGCTCATGAGGTCAATCTTCTCACCTTCTTCTGAATACATTTGAGTTTGTCTATATTCTTCCTAAAATGTATCTCCCAAAACTGAACACAATATGAGACATATAGTCTGGCTGGAAGCATGTATAATGGTATTATTACCTCTTTTTTAGACACTATGCTTAACCAAGCCATATATATCATGCTATTTATTGTTTTTGGCTGGCTTATCACACTCTTCACTCGTATTGATCTTATAGCCTGTTAAAATCCCTAGACATTCTCCCTTCCTACCCCTACCCCTCAATGGGTCTTTTAATCATGTCTCTGCTATTCTGTGCTTGCAAAGTAGGTCCAAAAAAAGGGTAAGCTTACTCCTAATACATTTCACCCATTATGATTTGGTCCACTATTATAGTCTGCTAAGAGTCTTTTTTTTCTATTTGACTGTCAAACAATGAATTGACTATCTATCACCCTCCTCCAGCTTTGGGTCAACAACAGATTTGTATGTGTGACTTTTATGCCTTGCCTTTATCCACCTTGTCAAACTATGAAAAGACACATCTGTATAAAAGGAGGGGAATCAATTCTTTAGCCAAAGGATTTGAGCATACTAACATTTGCCACATTGAGGAAGTAGCTCAGACAGGATAAAGGACATTTTGGAGTGCAAAGAGTAATGAAGGGAGGGAGGTGGGGCAGAGGGAGTAGATAGGAGAGACATTACTTTATCAACTACCTGGATCTTCCAGCCAGAGAACATTCCACAATGCTTGGGACTTGCCTCTTAGTCTGGAGTTGCTATATAGGA